TGCTACTACTACTACTACCACCACCACCACGACTACTACTACTACTACTACGACGACGACGACAACAACTACTGCTGCTGCTGCTGCTACTACTACTACTACTACTCCTCCTCCTGCTGCTGCTGCTGCTACCACTGCCACTGCCATTATGACTACTCCTACTGCTCCTTTGTCTCTATGGCTCTGCTCAGTCGCTTGGAGGCTATGGCATCATCATGTCAGAGTTGGGTTTCGGCCCGGAGCTTCTCGACCCCTTCATCTTCCGGTACCTCGTGGCCTGGTCTCTGGAGAGTGGGCCCAGAGCATCTTCGGAACTTGAACGGCTTTCTCATTGATGTCTCTAGAGGTCCAGAGCATCTTAGGACTTGGATGGCTTTCTCATTGCGGTCTCTAGAGGTCCAGAGCATCTTAGGACTTGGATGGCTTTCTGAGTGCGTGAAGCTGGCTTCTGGAGGGTGTGTGTGAGATAGGTTTCCCGAGATTGAAAGAGATATGTCAGTGTGTATGGCCAGTGGCATTAATGATTACTTGTCCCTGGCTTTGGGGCTAATTACAACAGCAATTTAATCAACGGACATTTTGAAGCCTCACGGGCTATCGAGCATTGGCTTCGATTTAAGACTTGGCAAGCGACAGCAGACCCGTATCTATATCTGTATATGCTTGTGCGTGCATGTGCGCCTGCATATCGCCCTGACACGCGGCAGCTGCTGGTGCCCAGGACATCATTGCGCAGAAGCTATTGCCGGCTTTTTGCGAGACGTTGCTCGGTTCGTCTTCTGGGAAGGCAGGAAGAATCAGGTTGATTGCAGGCAAAGGTATGGACCGGCAGTTGGCTCAATGCCAAAGGAGTCATGAGACTAACATTTGGTGCAACACACTACGTTGTAAACCACATATAATATCTATACGTATATGTACTTTTATATGCATGTTTATGTATCATTTAGATTACCAGCGGTTACCAACTAATGTAGCATTCAGTGAAATAGGGTTTATATGGGAGCTGTTTATCAGATTATCGCGTGATACTGGCAATAAGAAAGCCCTCTTCTTAGAATCCTCATGCAACCCCATAAAACCTCTATAGAGCAAATTAAGGGCGCCCTTCCTCACGCGCCCAGGTTGGATTCCTACCGTGCCTTCACTGTCTTGTACGATGCTGAGAAAGACGGCGACCGTGAGTCCCTTGGCGCGGTGGTTCTGTGGCTTACAGGTGGCACGGGTTTGGAATCGAAATGCAGGGCGCAGGAGTTGAGGTTTAGCGATGTTTAGGGTTGCAGCTTTAGGGTGGTGGTGTGTGTGTGTGTGCGTAAGTTTCTGTAGCGGAAAAGACCAGTGCGGATATGTACATATCTCGCTTGAAGGAAGCCTTGATCTGGGCCAGCCCCCAGATGTCACGCCCAGCGCGGGATTTCAGGTTGAGCGTCTACGGTGACACTGCTTGTCCAGGCTGAAAAGTATGATGTCTTTCGCATCAGTAGGGCTTGCACCGTAAATAGGCTCAGGGTCGCAAGTTTAGCTTCAGACCTTGCGACCTTTTGCATTGGATCTTTAACCGTGTGGTTCTGTCGTTGCGATGAATCGGCCCTGGTGTTGCACTCTTCAACTTGAGAGGCCTTGGTGTTCGTCTAGACATCTAATCTGATGCGCTGCTTGCCACATGCAACATCCTGAAGTGACTTGGGTCTGTATCTGGCATGCCCCAGGTTGGCAATGCACTACGACAATGCCGAGATCACTCTGAACGTGAACATTGGCGGGACTTGGGAAGGCAGCGCACCTCCAACTCCCCCTCGCTCTTCTGTTCTCAGAACCTCCAATGGGTCCGTCGAGTACTGTAGGTGTCACATGGTATCCTTGGTGCACGGAAGGCGGCCAGGTGGCATTCTATGGCTTGGCCACCCGAGAGGAGACCGAAGCCATCGAGGCGCTTTTGATCATGATATTTCCGGGGCAACAGGGTCGGAACCCGGCCGTAACCATGCCTGTTTAAAATCATTCAGTCGCAGATTCCACCGCTTATTCGTTGAAGGAAGATTCATTCGGCATAAATCGATACTTGGCATCATAGGCATAGGGTTTAGGGCCTATGTAGGTAATATGCCCTAAACCCTGTGTTCTCCAGGTGGCTCTCCATCGCGGGCATGGCGTCCTCCACGCTGGCCTGGAGCGCCGGAAATTTGTGGGTAGGCATCTTTTAATCCATCATGAGTTCACTAGATGCTGTTCCACAAAGCTGTCTTCCTGAGTGTAATATTAGCGTCTTTAGACGGGGGTCTCGGGGAAAAAAGCACTGGACCTTGTTGCATAGGGCTTTCACGCCGGCTTGCTCCCGATAGACCTCGCCTGGCCTGTCTGAGTTGCGAGACCCAAACCCCAGGCAAAACAAGACCTAAACCACCCTAAACCCTAAACCCAAAAAAAAACCTAAGCCCTAAACCCAAAAGAAAACCTAAACCCTAAACCCGAACAAAAAAACTAAACCCTAAACCAAAAAAAACCTAAACCCCTATAAAACCCCCTTTTTTGCGTCAGCCTTCTGCTCCAGGAGCTGCATAAGGCGCAGCCGATCACCCAGGGGCGTCGGCACAACTTGATCATGTGGTGCAGGTGCCCTGGAGGGGGCGAGGGGGGGAGGGTGTTTTCAGTGAGCTCTTAGGGTGTAGAGGATTTCAGTACATGTTTCGGAGTTGAAGATCATGCTGTGGTCTAGGCCCCGGAGTTTGGGCGTTAAGGCTGTATTGAGGGGATTCCATTAGGGTTTAGGGTTTAGGGTTTAGGGTTTAGGGGTTTAGGGTTTAGGGTTTAGGGTTTATTTCAGGGTTTGGGCGTAGGGGCCTTAGGGTTTGCGGCTCATTGGGGCTTTGGGGGAGAGTTTAAGGTCCAGGGTTTGGGGCTAGGTTAGGGGGTTTGGGGATTTGTATTCTTTTTCTTTTTGGTTTAGGATTTATCGGATTTTCGACCATTGAAAAAAATGTTTCCTAGGAGCGTTCCGTCAAATTTGCGATGGTTCAGGCGTCTTACCGGTAGGAGAATAAGTTTGAGTGGCTCAGACCCTAAAACCCCAAAGCACTAAACCCCCAAGCCAGAAACCTCAAACCCTGACCACCCCCCCTCAAAAAAACAGTTAAGGAGTTTCAGGACTGTGTCCATGCAGGGCTTTAGGCGGTAGGGTTGCAGACCAAGCCGTTCCAGGCAAGGGTTGTGGAAGAGTGGGTGCTGCAATCTCCCCGAAGCCACAGAGAGAGAGAGAAGGTCCAGCGGAATTCGCAACGATCTCTGCCCGATGTGCTTCGAGCAACCACAAGAGCCTCAGCAGAGCTATGTGCAGGATTGTTGATGGATCCGGGCTTGGTGCAACAGTCAGCTTGGCATCGGATGTGCTTAGGCTTTCCGATGGCTTCTCATCGATCAGCTTTTAATCGTTTGATTCTTGCTTCACTCTCTCCAAGTCTGCTATGTTGACTTCAACACGAGACGACCGCTGTGCTGGAGTCAGGGTAGCTCTATAATTGATAAAGATGAAGAAGAAGATAGTGTTGATGTTGCTTGCAGTAACGAAGCAATTCGCACAGCAGTATGCACTTGCATTGCCGGGTTGCTTTGCTACAGCATGAAGCCGGCCCCTTTCACATCCCAAAACTCGAACCCTGAATCTGCGTTGCTCGGGCGGCAAAGGGAGTTCTACATTGCTTAGGACCCAACACAGGAAGGTGGTAAGTACAACAGGCGAGTGGAACATATACCCGGTTCTACAGTTATCTGAGGGAGCCGACATGGGAATATCAAAATATGAATTGCTCGAACATACATCGTAATTATACCCAAACAGTGGGATCGACCTTGTAAGGCCTCAGTGACAAGATACTTCACCATAACTTTAACACTCTCAACGGCGAGGTGCTGCCGACGAACAAGTTCTTCCACGAAGGCTTCTCTGTGCCGCCCTGCAGCCCTGCAGCGGTGAAGCGAGAGATGTCTGAAGACCTCTACGACTAATATAGGGGCCTGAATAAGTTCCTTATTATAAGTATAGTATGGTGGGCACCAAAACCCATTCTAATTATTAAGGCTCCTACACTAGCCCGTTGCATGAGCGCCGAGCTGTTGACATCGTGCGACGAAAACATCAGGTTTCTCTTGTCTTGGCCCTCTCGTAACAGGTCACGAGACTAGGCGTGGGAACTGCGCCTTCAGCGGCAGTCCGTGACAGCCCAGCTTCGGAGGTGTGGTGTAGCAGTCACAAGTTGTCCCAGACCGGCTCGGTGCTGGGCCATGGGGCAAGTTTGCATGAACCTCAAACTCTGAACTTACATATCAACAGTTAATCCCGTTCTCTGCATTCCGCGAGCCTCGGTGGCTTACAGCTTTTTCATCTTAGCGCACCCATGGTGCACTCCAGGCCTCGTTTTTTGGGTACTGAAACGCTCAAGGGCTGAATGAGTTTAGGGTCGCTTCTTGGGTTTGCGCGGTACGGGGTTCAGGGCTCGGAGGTTAAATGAAGTTTAATGGGTGTAGTGTAGGCCCAGTGAAGGATTTCGTTTCCAAGTAGTGCAGTGATGTCTCAACACTAAGACTTCCTCTCTTGAGAGCTTTTTGCTGAACGATCGTTACGCTTTGCCACCCTAAGCCTAAGCCCTAAAAAGCTGGGCCTAAGAGTTGACAGGCGGTCGGGGTGCTGAATGTTTTGTTTAAGGGTTTTGGTAGGGCCGCAGAGGCTGAAGGGCCAAATTGTAATGCAGGGGTCTGAAATATGAGGAAGAGTATTTGTTCCATAGTAGTCCCTTATAGTCCCAAAACGGTATAGGGCGATGTGCTGGGGTTCAGGGCTTTGAGGGTTTAGGATTCTCATGAGCTTCGGTTTCTAAGAGCTCAGGGGACTAAAGGAGGGACCCTAAAATCGAAGAGCTCGGGACTAAAGGAGGGACCCTAAAAGGGAGGTTAATATAGAGACTATATAAGACTATATAACGGGTACATAAGGGGTATTAGGATTAGGCTTGCGACAGGCCTTTCGCTTGCTGCCTCGCCTGGGCGGCCTTGGCCGCCGCCCACGGCCCGGCACTGCAGAGCGTCGAGGTCTGCCTAAGGCTTTACTTATAGGCCCCATGGTGGTCCCTTTTTTGGGGTTCATACTTAGAATCCTATAAGGTAATCCCCAAAAAGGAACTACCATGGGGCCTATGGGTAGGGCTTCTGTGGGGTTTGGTATGTGTAGTCTAGTCTGAGTCTAAGTGTAGGTCTAGTCTAGTATTACAGAGAAAGGCAAAGGCCAGGCAGGGGCTAGCCTAGTCGTGTAGTGTAGTGGAAGATAGTATCGCATCGTATGTTACAGTATAGCATAGCGCAGCATAGCAGAGGATGGCATCGTGGCCCAGTCTAGTGCAGTATAGTTCCGTATAGTTTTATGTAGGGACCCTGGCTTTCCAAGTCCGACGTTTGGTTTGAAAGCTAGCGGCCTCTCGTTCAGAGCCGCCGAGTAGAAGACAGGAGTCCTAGAAATCCCTAGCGCTAGACCCTAAAACTGTCTGGTGCTTAGTAGGGAATTGGGGGAATTGGTTATGGGGACTACTATAAGGGACCTTAAGGGAGTATCATAGGGATCCATTCCCCATTCCCTACGAAGCAGCAGACAGAAAACCAGCACTGCAAGGAGGCAAACAACCCTGCAATGCAGGAGGCAGAAAGATTGCGTTTAGGAGCAATGCGAGGATGCGCGGCACAAGCCACGCGAGATCGTTCACGGGACCCGTAGAACCATGTTGTTACGGGACTTTGCAGACCTTTTCGAGTCCTACCACACGCTACGTGGGATCCTATAGGAGTCTTACGGAACCTTTATAGGATAATGAATGACCTTTTGCAGGTTGACTCCCGCGCTGAGCTGGGTCCAGAGGTGCCTGAATCAGCTTAGGGTCCTGAAGGGAGTGTTGGGTATGCTGTATACTGGAACTGGGCGGATCTCAGATTGCAAGTTCTGAGGAGAAAATTAGGAGAAGTAAGGGTGGGATGATTTTGGGCTCTGCGAGTTGCTCACGCTGCGGCGTGTCAGGACTAGCTTGCTTTGCCCACGAAGCCGCCCCATGGCAGGTTGACTACGATTCCGAGTTGGAACCGGAGGTGCCAAACTCTGTTTGGCACAGAAGTCTTGGGGAATCCAAAATGGCGCAGTTGAAAGTGTCGCAGCTGCGCGTTTGGAGCTTCCGCCCTTCGGTAGTTCTGAAAGTTGTCTTCGTGATTCGGTAGGGCGCCTTCTCCATGCCGTCCCAAGAGTCCATTCACTTAGGGCATACACGGATGAGGATGCCACCCTCGGTCCCAGGGTGACATGGGTCAAACATTGCCAGCTCAACTACCAGGGTCTGCCGGAATCGAAGCCCCAAAATGACGACGACGATGAGAAGCGCAAACACAGGACAGCAGCCACTACAACCACAACTCAGTCAGGAGCGGCACTGGCAGCAACATCGAACATCATCAGCAAACCCCTAGCAGGCCGCAAACCCTGAGCTCAGGGTTGCAACATGTTGAGGTTGGACTTTTGACTGCTCTTTTCCAAGAGCTCCCTGCAAGCCAGCTCAGAAGAGGAGGAAATATAGGAGCCTTAGTTTCTTATGCTTAAGGGTTAGTGGTGACTCTATAGTACCATTGAATCGAAGAGGAAGAATTCACACATGCGCCTGGGGGGGGGGGGGCGGGGCCGTGAACTCATTTGGAAGCGTTCTCGGTCCATGTGCCAGGGTGCAGAATGGGCACTGCATGCAGACCAAGTTCAAGTACAAGCCTGAAACTCCGTTTCTATGACACCGTCGTGTTTGTAGTAGAAGGTCGTACGACATCAGGCTCGCGACTGGTAGAGGCTGTCCAACCTGTGCCACGTGTCTCGTCGGTCTTCTATCCAGTGTTGTGGTTTCTGCTCACTCCTTGCCATCCTGAGTTTTCTGGCGTTCTCTTTGGCAGGTTGACTCCAGCTTCGACGTGGATCCGGAGGTTCGCCAGCGTTTGAGGGTTTCGTAATTGAGGTGTCGCTAAATAGGGGCTGGCGGCGGCGGCCAGAGACATAGGCATTCAAGTGTTGTTGCTTTTTGAGGGAAAGCTTTCGGAAGCAGATATCGTAAATCCTAAACAGGGCATACCACTTGGTGTCTCGGCTTTGAATTGTCACGGCTGGTTCTCTGAATCGGCCTCCCGGGGGCTTAGGCCCGTAGCGGTTGACCATTAGTTCATTAGTACATGCCAGAGTCGATCTAGGCCCCGAGCTCTCACAACCAAAGTTGCTAATTTTAGGGGTTTAGGGTTTAGGGGTTTAGGGTTTAGGGGTTTGTCTTGCTCAAAAGTGGCAGGGCCGTTTCCCTGAACGCACTGTACAGCAGACCATTGAGGCCGAGTTTGTCTTAACAACCTTCCTTTGCGCGGAAGGTCGGCCGCAAGAGACACCGTGAAAGAGCTGGGAGTCCAGATCGCACCAGCCACGAATGCATGAATGCCAACCTAAGAGTGACAAGCAGCAAAACAGTTGTCGTATTCGACTGTCACATTATTGAATAATGATATGTGTTGTTGGTGGTTCAGCTTGAGGGAGTCTTGTGTTCCATTTTGATGGTGCCTCTCAGCACAAATTGCTTGGTGACATCGGCAAGCATGCAGCTGTGGGATTCTTGATGGTAAGAGGTCAACATAATTTGCGGGTTGAGAAGTATCTCAGCCTCAACCCGAAACCATTCTGGTTGCGTCCTGCAACCGTAGAGAACGTAGGTTAGGCAGCATCAGCAAGCATTTAAGCCTATGTTCAACCTAGCCCCTCCGCCCTAGTGTGTTTGGTGCCGTCTGTGAGCAGCCCCAGCCACACTAGTAGCGAGCCTTAACGGACGGTCTGCCAAAGTTTGTTCTCCAAGCGAGAAGAGTCCTTCTACCACGATAGCCCTGCAAGTTCGGACGATGCAGACATCGCCACCAACCAGGGATCTTGCATACCCTCTACAGTGAGCCAGAAGTTTATGACTTCTTGCCATGACTCAACATGTCCTAAACCCGCCCTGAACCTGAAAACCCCATAACCCTAACCCTAAATGCTGAAGCGAAACCCTTAGCCGAGGAGGTCGGCAGCCCTTCTCCGAACTGAAAACCGGGCAGGAGCTCGAGGTGGTAGCGAGGAGCAGACTGAATAGATTGAGTGGGACATGAGGGCAAGAGGGCTCATTAAGGCTTTAGGGCTCATTAAGGCTTTAGGGTTGTGGGTTTCAGATCAATCGCTGTTAGGGCCTAGGGTTGGGACTGTAGGGCTACGGAGGTTTGGAAGTACTGGCGTTCGATGTTGTGCTTGTTAGGGCAAGATATAACTGCTGCGTTATATGCCGGGGGTTCTGTACGGGAGCAATGAAAGAGCACTCAAGAAGAGTGCTTCGTCTTCGCGCTTTAGAGGCTCGTTGTTCCCGTGCACCGAATTGCGTTTGTGAATCTCTCGTAGGCCTCGTGCCGACCGACTGCGCAAACTCATATCTTTCCACTCCTACAAATCAATCCCACTGCAGCGTTTGCAGCAGGATTCCCTCCATCACCGTGGACAGAAATTTGCGTTAAACATAAATAAGAAAGCATGTGTTTGTATACATACATACGTACACACATACATACATACATACATACATACATACATACGTACTCATGCTTCGCTCTGTGTGTACTGTGTATGCGTTTGCACGTATGTATAAGAGTGATAGATAGATACACATCCATACGCTTTGCACAACCGACACGAGGCCCAAGGGATTCGAATTTAATGGAGGGACCTCGAGGTTCGCCGTACAAGGCCGCAGAACCAGCAGTCACAGCAGCAACACCGCCACCAGCAGCAAGAAGAAATGGACAACGGTCACAACTGCAACAACAGCGACAACCCAACAAAAGCCGGCAGCTGCAGGAAGGACAACAGACAACAACGCGCACCACAGACGAAAGGAGAACGATGGAACAAGTTCACCTATTTCGGCACTGCACGTCTCCAGGACTTCGCATCGGATGCCAGCCTCCTAGATGCAGAGGAGGCCCAGGTGCGGCAGACCTCCTTCCCATTAGACTCGCTCTACAGGGTTTCACGGTCGGACATTGTGGGTTTAGGGTGTCCACGCATCTGGAAGTGCTGCTTCCCAGCTGATTGGCAGAGTCTGGGTTCAAGAAGAGTCTCCAACTTGCAAGGGGCGAGAAACCAAAGAGATGACAATGGAAAAACGACGACCCGAGACCGGGCCTTCTCCCCGTTTTGGGAACCTTAAGAACAAGGACTTCTGGGGCTTTTGGATTCAGGGATTCCTGGGCCTTCGGCGCAGGAGTCTCACGGAAGAGAGCACGCCGAGAAGGTCACGAAGAAGAAGAAAAAGAAGAAAAAGAAGGCCCTGGCGAAGAAATGTGCAGCTCGCTGGCACGAGAACTTGGCTAGTGATGATCTTGCGGCACTCTTTGGGGCGCTCTGAAGCGCAGGCGACTGGGTTTCAGGGCTGAGCTGCTTTGTTCCGGCTGGTTGATTAGCTTCGGGTGCCTCAAGGATGAGCTCTTCACACCCTGTGCGATAAACTTCACGGGCTAATTGCTCTAATCCAAAAGCTCAGGCCGCAAGCCCTTGGCGCCCTCCTAGACCTGCTCTGAGGTAGGCACACATCTGACCAGCTGTCCGTCTGATGGCTCCGACCCGTGCAAGACCAAATCGGCAGGTCGGCTTGCTAGACTCGACAGCAATGCCTGTCAAAGTGGCTGGGGAGTTGGGGATACTTGCTGCAAGGTTCTGGGGGGTAATGTTTCGAAGAACGGAGCGGGAGAGAGTCGTAGAGGGTTCCAAAGCAGAGGAGCAACTGAAGCGTTCCAGTGTTAGAGGGGCCGTCTGTTACGGTGTGTTCAAAGCTTGCAACCGTTGAACTGCAGGCAACTGCATCAACGTCTTTCACTCCTGTGGTGATGACGTCCTGAAACAGTGCGGACTGGACAAGACACCTGGTCGGCAAGAACTGCTCGGACTGCTTTGCGCTGCCATTATGTCGAGTCGATGTCACTGACACATAGATAGCTATGAGCTGATAACCAACCGTGCGTACACGTCCCATGATACGAAGGAAGAAGAAGTGCACCAGCCTCAGCGGCGGAGCCTGCTACCTCCAATGCACCGGAAGAGAACTCTTCGGCGTCCCTTGGAATTCCAACTGTGACAGGACTTTTTCAGATTTCGGGCTTCGATTCGCTTCCTCTCCGCGTATGCAGCGAGTCCAAAACTATGCCACTGAAACTTAAGATCTAGTAATCCAAGTCTTGCGCCGAATGAAAATGCCCGGCCCCTGAAATCTATAAATCCCTTAATGTTAAACCCTCAACCTCAAGGAAACTGGAAGATGAACCACCCCGTACTGCGTAATCACACGAGACGGAGGGAGAGAGCGAGGGACTTTATAGCTCCAGCCCAATTACTCCTCCACAGCTTTTCGCTTCACACTCCCCTCTAGCCGCAAAGTCGCGATTGGCCTTTCAGGTCGAGGGTCCTTAAGCAGGGAAGAGCAAGAGAGAGAAAGAGAGAGAGAGAGAGTGTATGTGTGTGTGTGTTTGTTTGTGTGTGTGTGTGTGTCTGTGTCTGTGTGTGTGTGTGTGCCTCTGTGTGTGTCTCTGTATTAAGTGTATCTACTTATGTTTATGCATATACGCACACACACACACA